AACTTTTTGTTTTGGGATATTTCATCGATGCTTAATAGGTTGAAGTGGTGGTCTTGATAAAGCTAAACTTGAGATTTATGATATGATTGTTAGGATCTATTATGACCTGACTGTTGATTATGCTACTCAACTGTAGGAGGAGTTTGGTTTTAGTATCTCACGCACCAGTATTGCTAATGGTGTTTCATGTGCTCGATATAGGAGTCTGATTCTGCAACAAGTGTGTAAGAAGGAAGGGATTCTTGTTCCAGCCGATGTTCAAAAAGATGAGTTTGGAATTTATCAACATTCGAAGACTGTTAAAGATGATTCAGATATCTTTCCTAATGTTGCGAGAATTACGGAAGTCATTCTTAGAAATGTGGATCCGAAGAACCCTGTTCTTGTTGCTTACCTTCAAACAATAAACCCTATTGTTGAAACATGGTGTTTTCCCCCAAAGGAATTGAAGGAACTTCAACACGTCGCAAAAGTTCCATGAAATCCTCAAAGGTTGAAAAACCTAAATCTGTTCCTGATACAGTCGAGAAGGAAGTAATGAAGCATGTTCAAGAACCTATTGTTCAGGATGTTCAAAAGGAAGTGGTTCCCTCAAAAACTGGTTTTTAAAATGAATGAAGAAGCCAACCCATAGACCTCGTCATTCACTAGAACAGAGGCTTATTATCGATCACGTTCATGATAAGTCTATTTCCTCACTTAAGGAGGTTTATGTTTCGAAATCAAAGAGGATTTGGAAACCACAACTCAGTCGCAAGGGTGTGATTTTTCGTGAAATCCACGCTCCAGTTTCTCCGGCTTCCAAGAAACAAAGAGCTCAAGCCATGTCAAGAAGATTAAAAATAAGCAAAAGAAATTACAAGATCCTCTTGATGAGGTTGTGGTGGAAAAAAATTTCGAAGATGATGGTTCTCAGTCTCCACTTCGCAATGATAACGTTGGCTTTGATTCACCATAAAAAGGACAATCCAGTCAAGTTGAATTTCGAGGAGTCCAGAAGTCTTAGTGTCTATGTGAAAGAATCTAATGTGGACACATCTACTAATTTGGGTGATCAATCAACTCAATCCATCCATGAGCAGACGAGTGTCATACCACCCGAAGTCTCACTTGTTGAATCCATTTCGGAGGAGTTCGAACTTCAGGCATCCCTGTGAAGGAGGTGACCAAGCTTGAACAAAGTCACTCTTCTCTTCGTCAAAAGTTGGATATTGTTTCTGAGGCCATTTACAAACTTGTTGAAAATTTCCATACTTTTTCAACTTTGGATTCGCAAGTGTTCACCAAGATGGATAATCTTTTGGCAAGCTTGCAGGAGTCTATTTTGAAGCTTAAATCTTCTCCAAAATCTTCTCTATCTCCAGAGTCATTGTCTCACATGTTTTCTTCGTTGGATTCAAATTTAAAACCTAACTAGATCAGCTTCTTAAATTGGTGGATTTGATGCCAAATGATGCCCCGCTTCTTAAAACGGGGGTGCAAGGGGTAGAATAGGGGGTTGGCTCTGGTTTTCCAAAAGGTGTTGGTTATGGTTCATCGAATGAAACTTCTCAAGGAAAGGTTGTTGGGAAGGTGATGAGTACATAGATTCCGAGTTCACTTCCTAAGTATATGTCAACAACCTCTACCATAGTAACTTCAAAGTCATCGACCAAAGGAAGAAATGCAAGGCAAAGGGAAGGGAAGGGTATCAAGGTCCACCCTACTATAGAAGACAAAAGGATTTCCTTGGAAAAAGAAATGGAAAAACAAAGGCAGATCAAAAGCATTTTAAGACAAAGCTAGAAGGATCCTCTAGGTCTTGAGAAAGGTGATCCACCAAAGCCATTTTATTACGAAACTATTGAAGATATAGTTTTCAATGGGATCATGCATGACTTTAAGAAGGTTCCTAAAAGGAGATTTGATACTGAAAATACTGATTTCAATAAATTGTATTTTCCTATCAATGAAATGATGCTCATTTCAACTCAGTATCAGATTATAGATAAGTTTGAAGACAAAGAAGAATAAAAAACATTGAAGATAAGATTTCATGTAGTACTTGGTAAAAGAGAACAAGATATCTCATCATTTGTGAAAATAGTGAAAGTTCTAAATATTTCGAAAGATGTTTTCTTCGAAGGGGTGTTGCAGAATAGTTGATTTCACGTGGTCAGAGCTAACAACATTGCATGTGACTTCTCAATTGCAGATTTTCCTTTGATGAATCTCAATGATCTCATCAGTGTTTCAAAAATCTTGAGAAGTGTGGATGTATCGAAGCTTCAACCAACCAAAAAATAATATTTTTTGATTGGGTTCGCACACATCAAGCTGTTTATTCACAATTATTATGATTATCCTACCATCACAGTTGTGAAATTTTCCTTAGCAATGGGTAGACATGGTACTGTACCACAATCATTGCAAAAATGTCAAACAAGCTTGAAGAAATTCGAAGATGGATAGACATGTGTTAAACCTTTGGGTGTTGTGTTCGTTGGGAAGAATAATTAGGAGAAGATTGCGAAGTTCTTATTCCAAGTTTGTGATGTGGAAAAGTATATGAATTCACAGTACACAAATCTTCTTGCTTGTATCAATAACTGCAAAAGAAATACAGAAGGAGATAAATCATAGATCCATAAGACAATCAATTGGTACACAGAGATTCGAAGAGTACTTCATCAATAAATGAAGATGGTAATGAATTAGGATTCGACATTGCTCACTAAGGGGAGAATGTAGATGTCAAAATAAGTTGTGAGGTGTTGAAGGGTCTTATGTCTTGTATTAGTGTCGCAGGTTGTAATGATGTTTTGTTGTATCTATTTCATAAGGGATCTCTTAGATGTCAAAGCATTCAGGTTTTAACCCTTATGTATATTTTGCTTACTTTTGTCATTCCTATAAATAGAGATAGGTGCTAGATATATAGTAACTTTTGGTCCTTCATGTTCTTTACTCTATAACACTCTTGTATCTTTAAGAAGTATCAATTGAGCCAAACAGATTTTATTTACAACTTTTGTTCTAGATTCAACTTGTACTATGATTTCACTAAATTTACTCGATTCTCTAGAACTACACTTATGTATAGTGAATTGTATTTCTTCATCAATGATCTACATCCATCAGAGACTAAAGTGATATTTCGCATACATTTTTAAGTATAAAACTTCAATTGCATTAGAAATGTGGAATATACTACATCAGGTCTATTACATAGTGTGTTCACGGTGACTTAGACCAGTAAACATTGAACTAATTTTATCGATTATCACAATGTTCCTCCACATGCTCCATGCAGGGACAGATCCAATGGGTATCTCAAGGTAACCCGAGATACCCTCAAAAAAAAAATTCAATAGTGTACTTTTTTTAGATAAATTACATTATTTGAAATGTGTGTGTGTGTGTGTGTATATATATATATATATATATATATATATATATATATATGCATCCCTTCACTTAGAAGCACAAACAAACAGCTAGTTTATTGGTGAAGGTACTGGCTTATTGAAACAAGGGTCTCAAGATCAATTTTGGCTCCTTACAGATCCTTTGTTTACATTTCTTTTATTTTTCCAACTATTCTATTATTTTATTTTTCCAGCTACTCTATCCCATATCGTCAAACTCATGTAAACTCAATTCTTTTCATCTATTATATAAACTTGTTATCCTCACCATTCATTTGATATCTACTTTGAGTCCCACATTGATTCAAGTATCAAAAGATACTTCAACTTCATGTTTATATAACAAGACTTGAAGTTAGCTAATGATTCGATTAAAGTTTGGACTTAAAACAAAAACCAAACCGGGAAATCCAAGTACAAATTGAAAATCGAAACACCGAAGCAATGGCTTTAGATTTGGTTCGGTTTTAAAAGTTGCCAAACCGAGGTTGTCAGCTTTAGGTTTGGTTTTAGGTGAAAACTAACATGACCCGCCCCATGCTCAGCCATTGCGGTGATTTTCCAGAAAAAAAAAAATAGGATACCCCTTTGTATTGAGTCTGGCTCCGCCACTAGCTGCAAGTACCTCCAAGTGCTCAATGTATTCAACAGTACTTCATAACCCAACAACATAAATTCTCACCGAAAGCCAACTATTATCTTTATATGGTTCACAACGAAAGTGTACTTCTCCATGGAGAAGTATGGGGTTGAGGGAAAGAATTGATGACATAATGAGTGTCTCGTTTCATAGTGTCCGTTGCATGGCTATGATGAACATTCTCACCCATTTGATTTACCATATTAATTATCGCTCGCTTCCTTGACATATTTGTTCCTCATTCTATGTGCATAAAGCTTGACTCATTTGAGGAACACGCCATCTCATATGCGAGCTATGAAAGGATTATAGAGGCTTTGAGAGTCGTTTGGAACTTTAGGTTCGAAAGTTTTGACTCTTAAAGGCCACATATATCCAAATAGTATGTCACATCGTCTTTTGTAACTGAAAGAACCTATGAAATCAAATATCTATTGCAGAATAAAAGATATGTGAAATTTTATAGTCGAATAAGTCACAAAAGATGTGAAGGTAAACTAAAAACGTGATATAAAATATTGGGACTTTATGTCATTAGCCCTATATCTTATAGATATTTATATTATTGAAAATAATGCTCTAAAGTGTAAATTTTACACAAATATTAAAAAATAAAAAACATTGCGACTATATTATTCTTATCCGTTTTTAGTTAATTAAATATTAACTTCAAGAACTGTTATCATTCAAAATATAAACTATACTTACAAATGAGATTTATATGATGGAATTTTATGTAACATCTGAAAATATTAGGTAATTATAAAAGAACACTACTTAAAAACTTAACCATTAAAGGATATATACTTTTTCAATATAAATCACACTATAATAATAATAACAACAATATATAATAATAATATTATAACTAAATTGGAGGTGCAATTAATTCGCATTCGTAAATAGGTTAGTACTAGTACGTAACTTTATTACACCAATATATTGCAGATGCACTCAATTCGTATTCATATATAGGTTAATACCCACAAGGCCCATTTGTTATGTAGAAAGTATATTATGTTACATGTTTTTTCGCACACCAGCATCAAAGGTAGCGGCCATGTCCTATCTCCTTTACAAGTAATCTAACTATCAAATATCAAACATAAATCCAGTAATTGCCTCCTCTATTATTTCGATATGCTTCTCCTTTTAGTAACGTTGTTGGCTTCCATTGTCCTGTTTCTCTTCTGGAGAAGGTCTCATCGTGTTATCAATTGGGTCGTTTTTGGCATGACCCCCGATCTCATTCTAAATGCTTACCGTGTTCATGATTTCTTCACAGATCTCATCAAATCGAGACATGGTACTTTCATGCTTAAAGGTCCATGGTTTGCCAACATGGACATGCTCCTCACCTCCGACCCAACCAACGTTCACCACATCTTAAGCAAGAACTTCCCCAACTATCCCAAAGGTCCCGAGTTCCGTAAGATCTTTGATATCCTTGGAGATGGAATCTTTAACTCCGATCACGAGTTATGGGAAATCCACAGGAAAACAACCATGTCTCTATTCAAACACCCCGACTTCAATCTGCACTTGGAAGCAAATATCAGGAACAAGATTGAGAAAGGGCTTCTACCTCTCCTTGAATTTGTCTCCCATGATCAACAAGAGACCGATTTGCAAGAGATATTTCAGAGGTTTACATTTGACGCTATCTGCCTATTGCTTTTAGATTATGATCCTGAAACCCTGTCTCTGCATTTACCATATAATGCATGTGAGAAGGCCTTCACGGACGCAGAAGAAGCTCTTCTATGGAGGCATCTGTTGCCGGAAAAAGTTTGGAAGCTGCAACACAGATTCAATATAGGAAAGGAGAAGAAGTTGATCGAAGCTTCTAAGGCTTTTGATGAATTTATATATAAATGTTTGTCAAGGAAAGAAAACGAGCTCACTGATGTTGAAAGAGTAGAGAAGGAGGTCGGATTGTTAAAGTTCTTGATCACTAGTTTCCAAGGACAGACGGGGACTTCAGGGAACTCAAGAACGTTTTTAAAAGACACCATATTCAGTCTGATGATTGCCGGAAGAGACACTACAAGCACAGGTCTTTCTTGGTTTTTTTATCTCATCGCCAAAAACCCTAATATAGAAAACAAGATCCGAGAGGAGATTGAGAAGCAAGTGGGAGATTCAAAATGGAAATATCTTAATGCAAAAGAGTTGGAAGGACTGGTGTATCTTCATGGAGGTTTATGTGAAGCATTAAGACTTTATCCCCCTGTCGCTTTGGAGCACAAGGCACCATCGGACACAGATATACTCCCAAGTGGGCATGTAGTTAATAAGCACAGCAGGATAATTCTGTCGTTTTATTCAATGGGAAGGATGGAATGGATATGGGGGAAGGATTCTTTGGAGTTTAAACCGGAGAGATGGTTTTCAGGGAGAGGAGGAGTAAAACACGAACCATCTTATAAATTTACAGCGTTTCATGCGGGGCCACGAACGTGCTTGGGTAAGGAAATGGGTTTAATTCAGATGAAAATGGTGGCGACTGCAATCATTTATCATTACCATGTAGAGTTGGTTAAGGATCAAGAGGTTTGTCCAGCTGATTCTATTATACTCCAAATGAAATATGGTTTGAAGGTTAGGCTCTTTCCTATCAGAGAGATCAAAACATAAGATTATGAAACCTAGCGCATAGGGTTTTTGGGCATGTTTTTCATGAATTAAGTTTTCTTCACTTAAAAGCAATAATTAAATGCAACAGTTATTTCGGATGTCATTACAATGATCGTGTATAATATTGTAAGTTTTAAAAAATATAGTGATTGGGAATAATTGAATTATCAGTTGATGCTAAGCATATCTGTGAAATTTAACAGTAAACGTTTATCCAATTCAAGAGGTGGGGGAGAGAGGATGACAGATGCTAATAAACCCATACTTATTACAAATGTTGATTTGTCTTGTTTTTAGTGGACAGATTTCCTCGATTCGATCAATGTTTAATTCAATCTTTAATAAAATAAAACATGAAAAGTTATCTGGATGATCTCAACCCATTTTTTTATCGTTTTTTTCTTCCAGTAATGATGATTTTATATCTTAATCTAATGGATAGATTATACACATAAATGGTGTTAAGATTTAAACACTATTGGAATGACATGTGGTAACCTCTAAAACAAAGCAATAAGTGTTCACATTTTATATTTATATATAGGAAAAATTAAAGAACATAGACGTTCGGTCCATTGTGTTGTCACATTAGGTCATATATATATATATATATATATATATATATATATATATATATATATATATATATATATATATATATATATATATATATATATATATATATATATATATAAAATGTTATAATGTGGATGAAGAACTATTGTGCGGACATGTAAACAATGATATTCTATGAGAATTATTAAAATAATAAGTTGTTTTGTAATTTGAATACGTTTAATATCATATAATTATTGATGTTTTTATATATTCTCACTAATTCTTATTTATTTTTGTTCACACATATCGTTTTTCACTCATTATTATTCTTATAAAATACGACTCAATAAACATCTTAAGAACATTTTTATAGAATGAGAATAAAAAAAATCTATAATAACTTTATAAACGAATTATTTGTGAGAATGCATGATAATGACAATAGTTATGTAAGATTGAATGTATTCACATTTTCAAAAAATATATCTTGTTTGTCATTCTCACATAATAGAATTGTACACACGTCCGTATAATAGATGTCAATTTGAACCTATCTATATATATATATATATATATATATATATATATATATATATATATATATATATATATATATATATATATATATATATATATATTCATGATCATTGAGATTCTATAGGAAACAATAAAGACCACATAAGTTTGGTTCTTTATGCTTTCACATTAGGTAATATATATACATCATGCCATCACGGATAGGGATAATAAGATAGTTAAACCACATAGCTAATCAATAGTTGTTGTAACTAGTTTTAACATAGTTGTACCTATCTAAAATTCAGTCAGATTAGTTTGTAATTATCGTGTACCACAATGGCTATTTAAACTTTAGCCATAATGAGATTTCAAATACAACAAGTTACCATTCATATTGTTATGATATTTACTGTATTAGAGTCGTAACACCCCTAAGTTAGGTGATCAACTATTCCTTTGTTCTACAAGATATCATATGGACACGAGACATGGATACAAATCAATCTCTTTAGGATTCTGTTTCCAGATTTTCTTAACGAGAAGTTCACATGATAGACAATCCCTTGGGTTTAAGTATAACCCTTTGCCACCAACCTAGCCTTGAATGTGTGCGCATTCCCCTCCATGTCGGTCTGCTTCTTGAAGATTCATTTATAACCCACCATCTTTAGACCGGTTGCACGATCAACCTAATTCCAAACTTGGTTATCGTACATGGAATGAATCTCACTATCTATAGCCTGATTCCATTTAGCAATGTCAGGGTCTGCCATCACTTCCTTGTAGCTAGCTGGATCATCTAAATTTAGAAGTGTTATATCAATAAAAAAAATGTGTGCCCATCTATAGTAAAATGAAATCCATATAGCTGAGGTGTCATACTAACTAATAAATCGATAAAGAGGTAATGAATTGTCAACTGGCACAACACGAACTTCATCCTCGGGTTGAGCACTAATGTACACTACATTTTCCTCATGGACTGACTCTTTAATTTCTTCAAGATCAAATGTACTTCTACTGTCCATATTGAATATTATATATCTCTCACAAAAGACCCCCCCCCCCCCTTCAAGCTACACAGACCACATTTTCACTTGGTATATAGAACAAGTATTCAAAGGACTTTTGTGGGTAACCAATCAATATACACTTCTCAACCCTAGGTTCTAGTTTTCCATGGGTCTCGTGCCTAATGATAGCCTCATAACCCCGAACCTTGATATGTGTGAGTGAGGGAATATTTCATGAGGTTTTTAGAAAGCTTTTTGGTAGGATCAATATTTGGGATTTGGGAGGTAATCTTTAAGGCATACCCCCAGAACGATATATGAAGTGAAGCTCAACTCATCATGGAACGAACCATGTCTAGCAGGGTTCGATTTATCCTCTTAGCCACACCATTAATTTATGATGTCCTAGGTGTATTCAATTGTGAAACTATTACACATTCCTTTATATAATCGTTGAACTCGATACTAAGATATTCTCCACGTCTATTATGATTGGAACATCTTTATCTTCTTACCCAGTTGGCTCTCTACTTTGTGCTTAAACTCTTTAAACTTTTCAAAAGTTTTGAACATATGTTTAATCAAATAAACATAGCTATACCTACTAAAATCATCATTAAATGCCACACAGTAGTGATTAGCATCCCTTGTGGCATATCTGAAGCGTCCATACACATCGGTTTGAATTAACTCCAAAAATTCCTCACCTCCTTCACATATCCCTGTAAAATGCGATTTAGTGATCTTGCTTAATAAACAAGATTCACATTCATCATCTGGCCTTAAGTCAAATGGTTCCAACACTTCTTCCATTTGGAGTTGGGTGATGCTTTTCTTATTTATATTCCCAAGACGAAAATTCCATAAGCATGATTTATCTAAACTATAAGAAGAATTTATATTAAATACACCATTTCCTAATTTATTCACACACACAACAGTTTCCTGCACGCCATTACAAGGATAAGCTTTAAACATAAAAACACCATTCTTATAAACCAAAATTTCACCAATATCATTATCAAATGAGTAACAAAATCCTTGTCTAAATAAAGCATGAAATGAAATTATATTCATATCAGACGAACAACAATTAACCAAATCAACTCTAACACCACTATCAAACATAAGCTCATAAACCATGATCCTTGTACCATGCGAAGAATGTATATTTCCCATTATCAGGTTAATTACCCATGCTTGAGTTTCTCACTTTCCCTTAGTCCCTACATATTAGAACAAATGTGAAAACCATATCCTATATAAATGACCCAAGAATTAGAAATATGTGAGTTATTGATTTTATTAGTGTATATACTTAATGAAGAACCAAACACTTTTCCTTTTCTTTCATTCACTTCTTGTACGTATTTTGGGCAAGTTCTCTTCTAAGTCCCTTTTTGGCCGCAATGAAAGCAGATGACCTCCTATAGATCATTCATAGTTGGGATTTCATAGTTGTCTTTCCTCTTAGAAACACCACTATACTCTCCAATGTGGGATTTCCTTTTCCACTTAGGTTGGGTGATGAATTTCCTTTAATTCTTCTTGCCTTGATGAATGGCCAAGACAGGAGCAGTAGCAACACTAGAGGGATGGGACTTCTTCATTACCACTTCAGCAGTTTGCAACAACTTTGGAGTTGCATCAATGTCGTTTCAGTGCTACTCAAATGATGAGTCGAGATAAACTAACCATAAAAACTAGGCAAAGAATTAAGAACCATATCAATGGCCAACTTCCTATCGAAATTCACATTGAGCTTCTCCAACCTTTCCATGTGTCTCTGAATTTTCTGCACATAAGCACATACAAATTCTCCTTCCTTAAGATTGCACACCGCTAGGGCTTTGACGACTTTATAGCATTCTTTTCTAGCTATGTCGTGCAACATTTCTCTAACTTATTGACTCATTTCATATGGCTAGTAGACCTCATAGGACTTTTGTAGTTATGTGTTGTCATAGTGGCTATCATGATACAAGCAACCATTGTAGCATCATCAACATGTTTAGCATTTGTAACAATTTCCTCAGGAGTAGTAATTTCCATGTCAATATTAGGAATAGGGTTATCGAGAACATACTCTATGTTTTCATAAAATCGATTTATTTTTAAATTACATATCTAATCTATTTAGTTCGGACCAGTGAGCTTTTCCTTTGATATAATTGACAAAAGTCTAACACCTAGTTTTGGATGTTTCTTTTATCGAGATAGTGGGTTGTAAATGGATTGAGTAGATGTCTTAAAATTTAAGGGAATAGAGTTTAGACCTTATCGAATGCTGAAAATTTTGTTTAAGTGTTTAAAGCCCTCGAATTGTGCTTTAAAGGAAAGAGTAATATAGGAGAAGTTATATAGCAGGCTTCTTGCCTAGATTATGGTTTTATTTCGACATGTTTTAAGCCAGATATAACTAGATATGATTTTAGGCTCGACAAAACCTTTCTATACATATAAAGAATGTCATAAACGAAGTTGAAAAGAAGTTATGGTTGTATAAAGTTGAATTGGAAGTTGTGGGTATTGTCCTACGTAGGGCGTAGGCAAGCTACACATGGTGAAGTAGCTGAATTATGGATGTGGGTTTAATGACCTACGCATAGTGTAGGTTATGCTATATAGTCTATAGCCGCAATAGATCGAAACCCTAATTCTAAGGTTTTGAGCCATATTTAAGGGCTCTAACTTCTTGGGAATCTTATAATGACCAACCTCTATCACCTAAGATCATTCCTAGAGAAACCTTAGCCTTGTATTGCTTATTTGGAGCCTTGGAATCCTTTATGAACTTATTTCTCTATTGGATGGTTGAATCTTAAAGAAAATGAAGTTCGTAAAGAGCATAGAAGAAGGGTTCAATTATAGATCCAACAAGGTTGCATCATTCTTGGATGATTATGAGTA